TGTGTCTAGTATACTTTTAAATATTGTATTTTTAAAATATTACATTGTTTTATTGTGTCTCTATAAAGATGTTATATATGTATATATACATATATAAATAATTCTTTTTGTCCTATTGTCTTTTCTCTAGATGTTAATTTTTCTGCCTATTGAATTTGATGTTTCTTATGCTAATTTTCCTTGAGTAGTCATGACACTTTGTTTTATGCTTAATTTTGTATTTAGAATTCATAGTTGCTCATGTGTTCACCTATCCTGAGTGATTGTAGAAAGAAATAGAATGAGCTGCCAGGAACAGTAACTTGTGCTCTTGCTGTGTGGGCTCCCTACATTGAAGCATTGCTCCTCTGTTCAGCTCTTGTTCCCCACTGCAATGCTTTGTCCTGCTTCCTACTTATTAACTCAATACAAGAAGGACAAAGAAATCCAGCTTGCCAGTTATTTATGCTGAGTATCAACTTCTTCCAGGTACTGATGACTCTTTTAGCATGAAGCTCCCCTACAGGTAGACTATGTCCACACCAGTCTTCTCTGAAAATGTCTCTGCTTCTCAGAGAAGCAGAGAGTTCGAAACTATAGGAAAGCTATAGTTTCCTATGGTTTTATTTCCCCACTGATCCGATCTTATTTATTTTCTATATTTTGTGACTTTAATATTCCTGACTTATGATACTCTTGACTGTCTTACTGGCATTTATCAATTTATTTTCTTTTTAAATTCCTAATTTTGTCATTTCACAGGACTTTTAGATGAGTAGTAGAATATACATATAAGCACTGAGTCCACCATGTTTACTCAACCTCTCTCTAATTTTTTAATAAAAAAATTAAATTTAGCCATTTTTATTTTGTGTTTCTCATACTTCAAAGACTTTATAATGTAGTTACCCTTTCAAACACAAATGAAAGCACAAACATATTTTATTCTTATTCTGAGCTCAACCCTGGTAAAAAGAAACAGCTACTTCCCAAAAGGAAATAATGATATAAAATTAAATATTAAGTGAGAACAGAATTGTCAATGTATGAACAAATAAATGATGGTGATTAATAAAGATACTTTCTCTCTCTACAAATCCATGATTCTATTTGCTACTGAATGAGCATGTAGTTAAGCCAAATAAGAAGGAATATGCTTCCAAATTTTCTACTGTTTTTCTACAATGGGCCATGGATATGTCCTCTTTACTTTCTTCTTTACTTACCTAGCCCTGCAGTGTGATCTTGGAAAGATAATTGGTTTTAGAACAAAGTATAGTTCTCAATTTGTCCAAATTTTCTGCCTTTCCATTAATTATCTATAAAACTTGAATAGAAATATCTGTAACACTTGGGCAATTATAAAATGCCTTCCAAGCTTAAAGATAGGGAAAAAAAGATTGTTATGTTACAGAAGAAACAAGCCATTTTTGTAGCTACATTTTTAGGTTTAGTTGTGTGGTTGACTCCTCTTGCACCCTACCACTAAAATGATTGTATCCTTATTGCTTGAGATGTATTCTCGCATCTAGTCCTTTGTGTCAGGAAGAAACATAAAGAGTGAGTAGGTCAAATGACAAGTTAAATCTACAGGTGGATAAAGATACCGCATGCTATTGCAATGTTACCCTATTGCAATGTTCGTTTTCACAATATCAAGTCCAGTTTCATTTTCTGGTGTACTCAAAATGCTGTGGGAGGCTTACCTGAGACTAGAGGACATTGACCTTTGCAAGGTGTTGACTGCTCCTGAAGAAATCTCGTTGATGCTCAAAGGAATGTGGTGAAGTGACAGCACACCCATACAGTGGTAGGAAGCCTCACAGGTGCAGAGGAAGAGGAAGGGGAGGTGCCAGAGGCAAAGCTTTTCTTCCCTGGACAAGATCGTGATTTCTAATTAGGTCTCCAAGCTCAATTGTTCCTCTCAAGAACATGTAGACTGCCGAGTTCAATTGTCAGATCAGGGCTAGCACACACACCGCCCACAAAGAAATGGCTCTGTGTGTAGGGGAACAAAAAAAAGAAAGAAATCTCATCCCTTTGACAAAGAAGCTTCAAGCACCTAATTAATAAAAAGTTCTTCTGAATGTAAAGATCATTCCCTAGCACAAAGTTTTCTCTGATCCTACAGAATTGGTTACAACCCTTGTATGTTGCCCCCACAACATTTATAACAATTAAGAGCTAGCTTCTGGTTTCCTCATAGGTAGAAATTTGGAGTCTCTGAGCCAGAAGCCAGAAATGTTTGGCAGCATGGAGTATTTTCCCACCTTCCGGACATTATTTTCTGGGGCCATGATAGTACATCTTTATAAGGCATCAATGATGGGAGCCCCACGTTGTTTTCTCAAGTCAGTACCAAATTCCTTATGGTGAATGGATACTCCTCCATAGTCCAATAATCTCTTTGCCTTAATTTTCCATATTGTAGGTTATTTTTTGTCATTGATGGTGTTTTAGAGGGAAGCTTGGACAAGCTGAGGCAGATGCCAGCTTGAGGTTACCCTAAAGTGATGACTGAGAAAGTGGATGAAGTGGGATGTTGACCTAAGTTCAAGTCACTTTTCTAGATCTGATTTTCCCTACTTGTCAAATGAGTATTTGAACTCTATGAAATCTATGACCCCTCTGCCCTGATATCTTGTGTACTTTGTTGTTCTATGTCTGAAATTAATATTGTTTTAATTTTTAAGACATAATACTTTGGTTATTTTCTACCTAATATTAACCATTTTCCTTAATCAACAGTTAAGTTCTCTCCTAAACCAGCTGTTAATTTTATTTCGAGTAAGATGTCTCATAAAATCTAAAACCATAATTTTGTTCAGAGTCAAGAAATATTACTTAACGGCCTACTTGTCTTTCTTCTCCAGATAGGATGAGTTCATATAATGTATTTCAAATAAGAAATATAAAAATTAGAAATAAAAGGATACAACACTTGGGATTATAGCATAATCTGCAGGTCAGTAAATAGTCTGTAAAAATGTTATTAAATCAAAAAGGAAATAGTTTGGAAAAGATTTTCCTGGAATTACACACAATTTCCTTTTCTCTAAAAAATATATGTCCACTTTCCTGTTAGAACATAAAAGGATATAACTGATTACCATAACCTTGTAGATTTAAATCATAATAACCTACACCAGGATATTTAGCTATTTGAGAGCAAATGCACTTGGTGTGAGGTTCTCAACTTACAAATGTGACCAGTATAGTAGCCCAACCATCCTTCAAATTCACATGCAGTAGATTGCCCCAGTATGTGGTGATGAACATTCTGTCTTATAATCAAAATTTCACCACAGAAATGATGCAATTGTCACTGAAAAAACAAATGATAAAGTGACAAAAAAGATAATGGCTTGGCTGCAGTCACCAGCCATTAAAACCTGCAGATTCTCTATCTTTTCCTCTGGAATAGACCAGCTCAGGAGATGATGGGGCCCAATCAGTAGCACAAGGTCTTCCACAAAACCTTTCCCCATGGTTCTCCTGTTCCTTCAGGAAATTAGCTCCATTTCATAAGAGGAAAGAGGACGAAGAGTTTAAAGAGGATGAGCAGAAGATGAAAAAGCTCACTCTCAATTATTCAGTGCCTACTCATTACTTCCAGAATAATGTGTGAGTTCCTCATTAGGACACTTAAACCTCCCAGTTTCTGTACTAGCTGGCATTACAGACTCACCCACACCACAGGGAATGGTAAGGGATGGGATCAGGAAGGTAATAAGGAGCCAGACCAGTCAAGACCCTGGTTCTAAGCAAAAAGTAACAAGATCTGCCTTGTGTGTTATTCAATTAACAGACAGTTGGTTCTGTCCAAAATGTCCATGGAGGCATTTTGTCCATGCTAGGTGTCCTTGATATTTGATCCTGTCCAATGCTTAGAAAATGTCCCTCTGTTCAAACAGTCCATAACATTTATTTCTACTTTTGGTTTACATGATTCATATATAAAAAACACTATCATGTTTTACAGATACAGTAATTGTGTTGTACCTGTATTGCAAATAATAACCTTTCTCACGTCAGTAGCCAGCTGGTAATGACACATGGGGTGAGGTAAATGGGTTAGTGTGAACCAAATGTCTCCAGAGACATTTTGGTACATGACCAAATGTCCTACAAGGGTTTTATTCTTACTAATGCTTCTCAAATACACCCTACATTTCCAGCACAGAGGCCCATTCACCGACAGATTCCAAGTATCCCTGCCAATAACAATCCCATTCTACTTTTTGTGTCCCTCCTACATAAAGCCATCTTGATTCCTCCAGCAAGATGTGCCTCTCCCTCTAGCTCTAATCTTACAAATGCCCAAAGTACTTGGCTTAGGCCTAGGTTTTGCATTTTCTCTCTTGTACTATTAAGAGTTAGATGACAATATTAGATATTTCTTGCTTTGAACCTCAGCAGAATTTCAAATCCCTCAGGTTTGGATTATATTTTATACAGCAAAACAGTGCTATTATTTCAGCTGTGAGAGAAGACAGGTACCTCCACAAACTCAACTCAGTTTCTAGGCAGTTGACTGTATGACAACCATACCTGCCAACAGTTTTGCTAACAGGTCCAAAGTTCAAGTTCATCCCCCTTTCTAAATGCACAATGAGTAGGGATATTCATGTTTTAAAAAAATTAAGACCAAATTATCACCTGTCTTTTCCAACTAAACTGCTTTAGACATAAATAACTATTGTCACTCCTCTCATGTAATTTTGCAGGGATTCATTGTCTCCACCACATATTTTGGGACTTGTTTTATATTGCTCTGTCATCTTTGTTACCTTTATTTGCTACATTTTTCTACTTTCCCCACTAAAATATATGTCCTTTAGGCATGGAGTCCTCCCATAGTTATTTGTGGACCTTACCTGTCCCCTTACCCACAAACCCTTGCTCAAAAACTGTTTGCAGATGCAATATTTGTATGGCTCTTCCAGGACTTTTAGCCTTCACTTGTAAATGAGATACAAAAAGCAGCGGACAAAAGGTAAACTTCTGCTACTGTTATACAGGACTTCGTGCCGCTATATCAAAACTTTGAGAATTTTTACACACGGAACCTTTACATGAGAATCAGAGACAACTGGAACAGGCCCATTTGCAGTGCCCCAGGGCCTCTGTTCGACCTGATGGAGAGGGTGTCGGATGACTACAACTGGACATTTAGGTGAGGCAGCCACCTTGGTTGAAAAAAATCCTTTCAAGGAAATCCTATCATGGGTACCAGATTACAGATCTGAAAAACTAAAGCATGCAAGCAACTGGTCTTCCATAATTCAACCTTTTGCAAGTCCTCATGCACCAGTGGGGAAAGCCACAGTAATTATGTGACCAATGGTAGCTTTTTTATATTGTAATGTAACTGAGACCCCATGTCAGAAAGTGCAGAATACACAGAGCCAGCAAGGAAAAGCCCCTTTTCAGCTTTATTGACAAATTATATCCTCCTATTCTTTGTGGAGACTGAGATGATCATGGCTTTTTCTCATGTAGAAAGTTCTTGCTAGAATTTAAATCAGAGCACAAGTGTCATGAAAGCAAGTGCTTAAGGAAAATTAGGACTAAATAATACTGCATGCCTTGGGATACCTTTTAGTAATACTATATCCAGCTTCATTATGGGGATATTTTCTACTAAGGGCAAACCATTTTGTGATGACAACAATGCAAGTCTAGAAGAAAATACATGATTTGGGCCAGACCCAAGATCTCTTTGGGAGAGTCTTTTCTGGGGCATTAGGATATTAAATGACAAAGCCCTTTGTGCTCGCGTGTCCTACTCTCTGCAGGTTCACTGGAAGAATCATCAAAGATGTCATCAATATGGGCTCCTATAACTTCCTTGGCCTGGCAGCCAGGTACGACGAATCTATGAGGACAGTGAAGGATGTTTTAGAGGCGTATGGTGTAGGTGTGGCCAGTACCAGACATGAAATGGGTATGTATGTTCACTATTTTGAAATTTTGTCTAGTTGAGCCTGAGATTCCCTGTGGCTACATCCCTTCTCATGTATAGATCATATCCAGACTGTGTGCCTCAAAAAGCTTTTATAAAATGCAAAAGGGAAAAGGTATGTGAAAGTCTTTATGAAAATTTCAAATTTTATGCTCTCACCATGTAGTTTATTAAGTACAGATTTTAGTTCTTCAGAATTAAAAAAAATGGATCTTTCCTCACCATTATTATCCAAAATAGCAATTATTGTCTCTCTTTTTCTGGTATCTTTTTTTTTCTTTTTTTAAACAGCTTTATTAATGTACAATGATATTTTTAAAACTATACTTATTTATATATACAATTTACTGAGTTTGGACATGCACATACATCCATGAAACCATCACCACAATCAAGCTAAAATCACCTCAGAAAGTTTGTTTGTGCTCTCTTTTTTTGTGGTAACAATATTTAATGTGAGATCTACCCTTATAACAAATTCTTAAGTCCATAATATTGTTAACTACAGGCATTATGTTGTACAGAGGATAACTAGAACTTACTCACTTGCAGAACTGAAACTTTATACCCATTGAAAAGTAACTTCTCATTTAGATTTTTCTTTCTCCCACTTTTATGAATGATGTACACCATCAATCTCGCCTTTATATTTGTATATTGTCTATCTCTGTTATTAAAACATAAACTTCTGAAGGAAAGAACTGGCCTGTTGACCGTTGTGTTGAATGAATGAGTAAATGAATATGATGACTATTATAAATAGGCAAGGCAGAACAAACTGCTTATTTATTTCTTTTTTACCTGAAACATTTTTTCTTATTTGGAGGAGAGAAATCAGTGAGAAGGAAACTAGTACTCCACTTTAGGGAGGAAGAGTGATGCATGCTTCCCCCTCTAGATTCTTTGCTATTCCTGACACATTGTTTTCTTACATATCATCTCATTTATTCCTCACAAAAATCCTGTGCTGTGGTAGGCAGCACAGTTTGTGTTATTTCCATATTCTAAAGGAATAAACTAAGGATCATAGTAATTAAGTGATGGACCACAGTGGCTTATCAATCTACTTAATTCCCAGTGTAGCTCAGAGATTTCTACTAGAGCAGTTTCCCATTTTGGGTAATATATGCAGGGTCTCCCAGATCAGTTTCAGGCCTAAAATCAGAAAGAAATATGCTAAAAAGAGATTTATCACTAGTGAAAAATGAGTCACAACTTAGATAACCAGTTGCAAAAAGAGGTCTAAAAATGTGCAACTATTTAGATCTGTGCAATAAATAACAACTCAAATTGAACAAAGTAAAATCCAAGTAACCAGTAAGTATTTACCTAAAGCTCCAGAAAGTATAGATGGTTGTCCAAATTTTTTAAGAAAGACATCTTGCTTATCTTCATTTGAGACATGAGGACTGGAGGTGTGAAAAGCGGGGTATGAAAAGAAGGTTCTACTCCAGTTAGAACTGGGTTGCCCATGATGTTCCATTTTGCAATGGGGTAGAGACTGGAAGAAAACTCCCAGTCATAAGAGAAATAGAATCAGGACATTTGGGGATGTTTCCTCTGGTGATAGTGACACACAATATCAGGACTGTTAACCAACCAGAAAAATAAAAAAGAAAACAAAGACATAGAGGACATTAACAATGTAATTGTTGAGTTTAGTTTAATATTAAAAACATATTAAATGCTGAAACTTAAAATACATTATCAGTGTACTACATCTTTTTAAGTAGTCATTTAATTTTCACAATTGAGTAGGATGAACCCCAACGCTCAACTCACTGAGACAGAACACTCCCCCATCACAGCTGGCAGAAGCTAAAAAGCAGGAGCTCAACACAGGCAATGGTTTCCCCTAGTAGAAGCCACATGTGGAATATGGGTGCCTGATCCTGCAGACTCAACAAACTCAGAGAACGAAGCAGAGGTGAAAATCCTAGTTTGGACTCCCTGCAGCCTCAGTTCTCTCCCTTCCTACTCACCCTTCTGAATAGGTGGGCTTTTAATATTTGCCTGCTTCATTGAGCTCTCCAGCTCAAGCTCTAAGAATATTTTAACAGGTTTCAAGTAAACAGTGAGAAAGCCCAACAGAAGCAACCCACACTAATTTTACGCAAATAAAAAGACTAAAACCAAGAATATAAGAAATCCAAAATAAATAAGTAAATAGGGTACATTTAAAATAATTCTGCAACATAAATAGTAATCTGAACATAACATGCAAGAATTAGTAGCATAATCTTGAATGTCATTTATTTCAAGAAATATAAGTAACTATTGGAAAAGTTAAACTATATAGTCTTAAGAAAATGTTTAATAGTGACAGGGAATTAACAATGAAAAACTGGGGCTACAGAGAATATTTAGTAAACAAATAGCTTCTTGAGGAACCAAAACTAAAATTTAAAAATGTTTAATCACTTAAAAATACCTCCTACAGCTTTAAAAAAAAATAGTTTCCAATATCCTGAGGAGAAAAAGAACACAGAAATTATATGACAACACAGGAAAATTAAGCAAAAGTGAAGATCTAGTGGAAATATTTAAACATAACAAAGAGATAGAAGACCATACATATTATTTTGACCAAAAATGTGTAACTAGAACATATTTGCCTATTGAAAGAAAAGAACTAAGATTTGACCAAAAACCTAAACTCAACCATATGCTGTAATCAAACAAGTGCAATTAAATTACTGCTATTCCAAAGGATAAGAGTAGAAAGATAGGTCCCAGCCAGGCACCTGGCTCACACCTTCCTGCTGCAACCACTGCCAGAATACCTCAGTGCCCAGGAGTGGGGTCGATTTAGTTGAAGGAGCTGCAAAGGAGTTGAAGAGTAAGGTTGTGTGTCCAATCTGTACCTACAAATGTTCAAACTAAGCCCAAAGTATACCTGGAAATAATACATTTCCAGACAGATATTACAGAATTGCAGGTGCCGTATTTAAGAACCAAAATGATGTGCTGATGTTCATTTTTGGGTACAACTAAAAAATAATGGAATACAAAATTAAGGGAGGCTTTGATTCTCTTGTCAGTCAGTTTAAGAAGCCACAGTCTGATGGGATTGGGAGGGCTGTGCATTTTTTATATTCTGATTATGAGGCAGAGTGAAATGGCAATTTGGAGTCATAATCAAGCATTTAAAATGGCTGACATTTTATATTTATATTTCTCTACTCATGTTTTTTGTTAGAATGCTTCCTGATCTAGGCTGTCTCCTTCAAATTCTGTGTGTGCCATGTGTGACATCTTTGGTAATTACAGGGTAGTTTATCCTAATAAATTTGTTAATGTGCAGTGAAAGATTAGAAATTGTTGAGGGTTTTGTGTATATGTGTGTGTAACATTGATTTGTGAATTCATAAACTCTAGAGTGAACAGTTTATCAAAAGTTAAAGAGACTGATACTCAGTGTTCTTTTTAAGGTGACTTGTCCCCCTATTTTTAGTTGGAAAGTTGCTAGAATAACTACAAACAGATTCTAAAACTACATGGATCTTTAGACTTTCAGCACAAGGATTGAAAAATGCATACAAATTGTTCATAATGTCTGAGTATTAACATCAAATAATAATCAGTAATATCTCTATTATGCAGGATAGTATCACATTGATTTTTGAATTTGTCTGAAAAAACTATTTAATTTTTTTTCTGTATATGACAGATGTTTATTTTAATATACTGGTTTAAAGATGAAGGCAGTGCAACAACCCATGAGGCAACACGTTCAATGCATAATTTCTTGTTATTCTTTCATATGAATTAAGCTTAAGTAAACAATAAGCTGAAATTTAAAAACAAATAAGCAACAACCTAAATGTGTGGTACAAATGGGAATAAGAAGGAAAGCAGAAATTAACCTTAAGTTATAAATCATTAAAGATATTCACCTTAGAAAAATTATACAGAGAGCTCATAATGAAGAGAGATACAACTCCTATATCCTCTATACATCAAGTAACACAACAGAGATATACATAGCTGTTTATTTATTTATTTTTTGGGGGGACAACTGGAAATTAGTAGGATAAAGAATATGGGAGGCTCTGAAAATGATGTGGCTCAATTTACTATTTCACAAGCTGATTAGAAAAAAATGCAAGAAAAATCAAAAAATGAAATAATGATAGGAGATCACAAAGTACCTCCTAGTCCTTGAAAAAGAAAAAAGAAAAAAACAAAGACATAGAGGACATTAACAATGTAATTGTTGGGTTTAGTTTAATATTAAAAATATATTAAATGCTGAAACTTAAAATACATTATCAGTGTACTACATCTTTTTAAATAGTCATTTAATTTTCACAAAAATTTACTATATATTATGCCACAAAGAAAACCTCATTAAATTCCAAAAAGTGGGTAAGACTTCAAGATGACAGAGGAGTGAGTGGAAGTCACACTGACCTCCTCTCAGGACCAAACTGGAATTGATACTAAATTATGGAGAAATCACCTGGAAAACAACAGAACAATAGTGAGAGAGGAGCTTAAAACCTTGGACAGACAGAGGAATTGGCTTTAGCACAACCTAACTGTTAAGGAGTACAGTAGAGGCTCAAGAGGGTGGGTTGGGTGCCCACAGGCAGCACCGCCAGAGGGATATTGAAATGGCCAGTTGGATTCCCCTGAGAAGAGCTGGGCCTGGACCATAGGCAGGAATTTCTAGCCTACAGTACCAGAGCCCCAGAAAAACACAAAGACAGTAGCCAGTTGTGAAAAGTGTAGGGATGCTCTGCCAGAGACAGGCAGCTAGAAACACAAAGAGCCATTTAAGAGCAAAAATTTGTAGTGGCAGCTGCTTACCCTGGGTGCTGGCAAAGGCAGGGGCAGAGTGGGCTGTAGTCACCTGAGGAGAGACTGGGGGGTAGGCTGGGGGGAAAGAACTGAGAAAAAGGCCACCGGGGTCCCGATGCTGACTCACCCCACATTCTGCAGCTGCCCTCTTCCTTGGGCAGACCACTCCCCTGAGCGGC